AGGGATGGAGAAATATACAGTAGATTGAAAGAACGATTTTAAAAAAAGAAAGAAAGAAACCAAGGGAGAACTGCAATGCATGCGCCAGGGACATGGGACATATACGTCCTGAAGATTCCTTGCCCAAGCAAAGCCCTCCAATCAGACGAGACATATCAAGAAATCCAGCCAGGTAGCTCACGGCATGCCGCATCATGAAAGAATCCGGTCTGGATTTCGGAGGTTTTGAATCCATACCTTTCATACCTTAGGGATCCTTTGGGGTTCTGAACGAAGCATGAAATCCATCAGACCAGTGCTACGTCTCCGGCCCCACAGCGAACCGAGCGATCGTTGCTCGGTCGACGAGGTTTGGGCACTCGGTGTGGAGAAGCCCAGCTCCACAGGAGACCTCTACCGGGTGGACGTGGTGGCCAGAGGCACGGCTGGTGAGTTTGTGTGTATTGGTTCGGTAGCTGCCTTGAAGTGCTGGACATTGTCCTGAAATCTTGAGGTAGATCGAACATGGGCAATCCAAACAAACATGACCAATGTCCTAGTGGGCGTTTGACATGTTTTCTACCTCGGGGGGATTCGCGCTGCCTGTGAAGTGTCTTCAGACTCCATCATGACATGTTCAACATCCGTTTCTCCAGGCGAGGTGCTGCTGAACGTCTCTTGGCAGCAACTCGAGGAAACTGTCTCCGGAAAAGAGGTCTTCAGCCACATCTGAGAGCAAGTTCAGAGCTTGGGCGCCAGTCTGAGAGCGTGGGAGGCATAGGGATGAGTCCATCAAGCATCAAAGGCTCCAGGATCCGCGTGGGGTCCCTGAAACGACCGCCACGAAGCAATCAGACGCCCTGGAGCCCCAAGCTCGAACATGATCTTCCCGTGTGGGTTGCGCTCCAATCGAACTAGAGTGACTCACGCGAAGAAAAACGGCAGCTTTGGGAAGTGGTTGCAACTCTTGGGACATCGATGGACTCCTGGTAGGGCCGAGGTTCGGGTTGCTTCTGCGCCGCTGCGCTTCTCCGTGATCGGAGCGTTCGCAGGTCGCCCGAAAGATCCCGAAAGAAGCGAGGGTGTCCAAGATGTGTTGAAGTGAAGCCATTGGATCTCATTGGGTCTTGTTCTTTGGGTCCTCGACTGGAGATGCGCAGCAGACGTTCAGCCGCCTAGCATTGTCTATAGCTACCCTTTGTCATCACCAACTTAGCACACCCGACGACATCCGACGGCTATGACGCCGTAATGCACTTGGAGGGATCTGAGCGCAATGTTGCCGGCCATTTGGGATTTGAGGATCTCCAAGACTGAACGGTTGCATTCCGACGCCCGCAGCCGGAGCACCGGAGCCGAACCATCCGCCCGCCTTCACCGTGACCCGCTGACCGTGCGGCCCGAGACCACGGACGCGACTCCGGCCGAAGCGATTTCGCCTCGGCGCTGCCCCACCGGTCGCTCCGACGCTTGGCCCATGCAGACAGCGGGGGGGGGGCGGTCAAGCTTGACCGGTGGTGGAGAAGAACAGGGATTGGAAGTTCCTTGATGCGACTTGATGCGTTTGTGTTTCATATTTTGGATCTGCTTCGGAACATGCTCCATCCATGTATGACTTGTCTCGTCTCTTCGTATCTCTTCGTCCTGACTCCGAGGCCATGAAGAGGCCCTTCGATGGCCCGATCGGTGCGATCGGAGGTGCCCTTGGAGGCGGGACGCGGCGGGACCCAGAAAGCTGCCCAGTGTACCGGTGAGAAGAAGAGATGAAGATTGAAATAGGTGTGCGTAGTGGTGTGCGCAAAAACGGGTGTACATGTGTATATACATATATTATATAACTATATAGTTATTGGTTTAGCTAGACTAGTGATTATATTTAATATATTATATCGATTTTTTACTATATACACACCCACAGAAACTCAGTGACCTTTATTCTTGACTGCCAACGCTCGAAAAATAGGGCGTGTTCCTATCAAAACAGTGGTTTTGTGGGTGTGTTAGACAATATCAGTGGATTCACTGTGAGAATCAGTGGCCCCTGATTGTCCAAAAACTGATGACGGGTTTTGCAGAGTATGTTGTGAGGGTGTTGCCGAAGGCAAGGCATTTTGGAGTATGGCAGGAGTACGGGGGGGTTCTTTCTGCGTGTTCGCAACACACCAACAAGATTTGACTGTATCACCTTTTATCCTATCCAACCAACGCACACTTCGATGAATTGCACAGGGCAAGCACCTGGACACTGGCAACACTGCGGTTTGCGCAACAAAAAGTGCGGATGTAATATTTGCTTCTAACATCTTCTACCCCACTTCCGCCTACATGCTAAACTCTGCAGTTCGCACCGACTACCTCACTACCCCTGACAGCTCCAGGTGGCCCTCCCAAAGCGCCGCGGACGGTGGGGATGGCCATCAAGATGTTGGTCACGGCCAAGGAAGCCGGGCTTTTGATCGGCAAAGGCCACTTCACCGGGAGCGCGGGAGTGCGGGGTGAGGTAGGGGACCATCCTGTGCCGGAATTTGGGAATTGTCCATACCCAGCACTGTCAATCCACGCTTGGAGGTGAAGAGCCTCCCGAGTTTGACCTGTTTGTAGCATTTTCTGGGGTGTCGTGGGTCTTCGAGCTGGAGCCATTAAGGACTTAAGGATCCCCAAGACAATGGATCAAGAGGATGAAGAGAATTGTGCTTGAGAAAGAGTGGTCAACTTAGGCTCAGGTTGATGTGCGGGAAGGTTTAAGGCCGGGGTCGTCTTCTGAGAATGTCGCAGGATTCCAGTCTCAGCTGTAAACTCCCAGGGTTTATATAAGTATCGAATAGCAGACCCCTGCAGGACCATGTCAGGCGAGCGGTTAATTATGACTTTTGCTACGGTTGAAAATCCTAGCGCCATGCGACCAGAAATAGAAATAGATATACACAGGATGATGCTGTGCCCGGCATCCCTGCACGATACTGTAACATAGACTTTGCTAGAAAGGTGGGAAAGGGAGTGCCTGGCATGCATTGATGTTTGAACCTGATGCTTGCACCAAGCTTGGTTTTCCGGTATTGTATTATGTTCTGTGTTACCGTGTCTCCACGCTGTCCCCAAGAAGAAAGTATATAGTACCTATTCTTAGAACGCCCTAAGAGTAAGAGGGGGAGGATTGGCTAAAGGTCAACTCTTTCCAGCGCGCCAATGGGGACAGGCCACCGATGGGCTTCGCCAGGTGGCATGACCCAGAAGCAGATTGCGGAGACGACGGGCTGCAAGCTGCATTTGAGTGGGATCAATGAGCACTACCCACAGACCTCGCTGCAAGAAGTGGCTTGATAGATACAGACCTGGGCTTCTTGAGATGTGTTAGTTGTGTTTGCTTGTATGGATTCGAACTTGTGTTGAACCTGACCTTTCTCCAATCCCAGTTGTCCATCAAAGCCGATACGTCGGAGATGGTGGCCAATGGAGTGCTGGCAGTGCTGGGAAAGCTCTCAGAGGAGACCGGGAAGATCCTGGGCGGCGAATGGGAAGTGGAAGAAGGAGGTGCCAGAGTTCCTCGGTGGCACTGTTTGAGCATGATGTGAGCGTGACGCCCTCCTGGGAATTCGTGTGAAATTTAGGTGCTCTTTTTTGAGGAGGGTTTAGGGTTTAGGGTTGCCAGAGGAAGCAGTGCGCCGTTCTTGCAGGCAAGAACATCTTGACAAAGTGCTGGGTTGTCTATCCCTGAACTGGACATAGAGACATATATATTTTATACTTATATATATATATTATATACAATTTGATATAATTTGATACTGTAATGACGAAGTGGCTTGTCCCGATCTTTTGCCAAAGAAGTTGCAGGGTGTGTGCGTGTCCACATTGGCATTTTTGAGAACTGCCCCATGCGCTGTTCCAGAGCGGATCCGAGGTGCACTTCATAGTTCCAACCCAGGGCGCGAGAAATATCATCGGAAGAGGCCGCTGCCACGGAAGAAGCTCCGCAGTTTGTCACGAACGGCAGTGGGATTTTTTAGAATAAAGGTTTGGAATCAATTTTGCAAGAGGGCCGTGATAGCATCATGGGCTCCGTCTCGGGCAACTGTTTTTGTCATGCTTGTGCTACCTCCAAAAGAGCTTTGCCCAACAAATCCCATCGCCCTCAACGCCGAACCCGGTGAGGTGGCGAAAATGTGAAGATGCTGAGAGAGGCCTCCATGATGAAGGCACGTTGTTGCCTTCGACACACGGCCCTCCACAGTGGCTACACAAACAAAAATCGAAGAGGTCCAGGCCACTTTCAAGTCAAATGGTTTGAAGTTTGAAGGTTTGAGCCCCAAGCGTTTGTAGCCGATCGCAGCTGAGACGCCCTTGGTGATGCATCGTTTCTTCCCGCGACATGGGGTTACGGACTTGTCAGGTGCACGTGGAGGACCAGATCATGGGGCTTGGGGACGCTGCTGAACAGGTGACGTCGGGCACATGGGCCCAGAGATATCATGGGTGGATCACCAGTTTGTAAGGGGAAGTGTTAATGTCTTTTTGGGGGTTGGTTTCTGGTGGCTCGCTCATGGGTCTCTTGGGATGCGGCTGTGAGACTTTCAGAAGGCGAAGATCACACATGCATCGCTACTAGTGACAAGGGCATTACTACTAGTTACAAGGAGCTACTAGTAGCGATGCACTTGTTACTAGTAGCGATGCACTTACTATGAATGGGAAGTTGTGGGACAGGAGATTGTTCCACATGCATGGATCATCTCAGCTCCAAGGTGATCTCCCTGGCGGGACCCCTGCAGAATATGCAGATCGCTTTGCCCATGATTTTGGAGAAGGCCTTCGGGTTTGGTGGGTGACGATTTGTGGAGTTGGGACAAGGTGCAACAAAAGGATCAAGAGTCCAAACCCTTGGACGTGAATCAATTGGAGGAAGGATGGTAGCTAGTCTCCGCTAGTCATGAATAGTCACTCACCCGATCATCTCAAAGATAACCGAAGGTTGATGGACCAGCTCACTGCAAGAGGGGTGTTGAGATTTGGCCCAGATCACGAAAGGTAGCCCTTTAGGGGATACCTTGAGTTTGTCTTGCGAAGCAAGTGTTGGGACGTCCGGGTCTAATAATTGATCGCTCAATTCAGACCCCCCCCCCCTCCCCCCCTCTAAAATCAATTCTCTCCTGGAGAACGTCTTCGTGAGCCTCTCATGATTTCAGGATAGTTGAAACCCTCTTGAACATTTAGAAAGAGTGAATATGAAATTCTAATCACGAAAGGTGTTCCCCGAGGGGATACGTTTTGTGAAGCACGTCAATTCTCTCCTGGGGAGCGTCTTCGTGAGCCTCTTATGGTTTCAGGATAGTTCAAATCCTATGATGTTCCGATTCAATGCTCACCGATGATCTGAGCCATGGGGCAAGTTTGTTTTCCTAAGAATCTTTTTGAACATTTCGAGAGCACATGTTTGAACATTTAAAGTGCATATGAACATATATTTACGAAAGGTCGCCTCCGAGGGGATAAATCACCATGTCGAACATTGCATTTTTGTTCCTGCCTCTCGCGTTCTCTTCTCTTCCCGCTGTCCTACCTTTCGTGTCTCCCTCCTCTCAAGTGAAAATGTTGTACTTGCAGTTTCTTTCGCCACAGCCACACCCGACCGCATGGTCGAAAGCCTAAGGCCTACTATCTAAAAGGTATAAAGTATAAATAAATGATATCAGAGGAATATATTATTTTGGTGTCGCTTTAACCGAAGCCTTTGGTGAGCATACAAGTTTGTGCGAAGGCTCAGGGCATCGACCTCATTTCTCGGACACTTTCTTACCGTATTTACTTGAAACCAGGAACAAAACCTCGGTCTACCGGTGCTTTCAGCCCACAAAATTAACCTCCAAATACCTGTACCAAGCTCCAAAAGCTGTAGCCATTTTCTGTTCCCATTTCTCTTCAAAAGCACAATTCGCTTCAATCCCCAGGTGGAAGAGCTTGCGACCCAGCCTTTCTTTGCCAATTGGGCCTTCAGCTGTTTAGCTGCGACCGGTGCCGGCGTGAAGGGCACGCTAGGCGGGGGTACAGGTTAGCGATAGGAGCAGTGAATTAGGCGTTTGTTTGAAGGATGCTTTAACAGGTGGCCGCCACATTTCGGATTGAAGCACCTTCCATCGCTTGCAGTCTTGGAGAGAGGGACTGCGTAGTGGACTGCTTGGTTCGTGGAGTTTTGGTGTGTGTTTTGGTGGCACAGGCAAAGGCAAAGGCATGGCAATGGATGGATTCAAAGGTGGCGATGCATTCAAGGGCAAAGGCAAAGGAAAAGACATGGGTGGCATGGGAATGGGTGGCATGGGTATGGGTGGCATGGGTATGGGTGGGATGGACTTTGGCAAGGGCAAGGGCAAAGGCAAGGATGAGTTTGCATCCTACGGCGGGGGGGCCGCAAACACACAAGCCAATATCGACATGCTCTCTCAAGCAGTGTCGGCCCTGCCATCCAGCCTCGGCCCGGATAGATCCCAGCAGATACTCTTCAACTGTGCGGCTGGGTACGTGAGTGCCCTCATTGGCAAAGCAGGGGCGGGCACCAAGCAGATTGCCATGATGACCGATACCAAGATCATGATTCGTGAGATTGAGGGGAATCCCAACGAGAGGTCGGTGGTCATCAAAGGCAACGTGATCAACGTCGCCGCAGCCACTGGCCGGTGGATTGGACGGGAATTTGTGACATGGAGAGGGACTGGACCATATTATATCATATTCATGCATATTACTATGTGAGGCAAGCATCAGATGACATTGTTTTTGGCTAGAGCCGTAATGTATATAGACTCTTGATTGATAAAGACAATATGCAGAGGTTTTACCATCCAAATGGGGGGTCATTCATCAACATTCTACATTACTTGATGAGCCCGAATGTCAGAGTAGTATTTTATATAGGTCCTGTGAGGGCCTGGGTATAGGCTTGAGCCATCGAGTCGCGACACGAACACTCCTAAAGGACCGGAAGCATTTTGTGATTTTTGGCAAACACCGACCTGATCGCACTCTTGGAAGGAGCGCTCCCCGTCAGCTCATCGTGCCTGGTTTTGGGCTGGATTCTCAGCCCATGTCAGCCCCAGTGCTAAGGCCTACTTGCATTTGGCCAGCCGCTTGGCCAACGTCATGCAGACGGTGAGCCCTGACGCACCTCCAATGTCCTGAGAGCTTCAAGGCGCAGCCAGGTCTTTTTTCATGGGCCACTTGAGTGAAAGCCCCAAACCGCATGGCAACAAAGATGCCAAAAACATCTGACCGATCGACCGTCGCAGACCGTTTGAATCAACCGGAATCAACCGTCACCGATCGACTCACGAGCCGTTCCGCATTGGTCGGGGGGGAACCCCCAAGCCGCAAGCGAGCGGTGAGGCCTCATGTTGCTAACTGCGCGCATGGTGCCGCCATATGAGTTGGCACAAGATGTGCCAAGTGAATGGAAAAGTGATCTATGTCCACATCTGGTGGCTGCTTTGATAGGTGGCCGCTTTGGTGGCAGACACTGACGCCAAAGGCTAGGCAATGCCTGACTTTGCCAGTAGTTTGCAGTGACGCCAGCGCTGCATTCCAGCAATTCTAGACAGTTCTAGCATTATTCCTATTATTCCGCAGCTTCGTTTGTTAGAATGCACGTGAAAACACTGTTTGAGATGAAGGATGCTCAGCCTGGCTTGCTTCGCAAATTTTGAGCATTAGCGAACGACAGCATTAGCTCACGGCACCGTCCGCTTCCGACGGGTTGCGAAGAGCGCGGCTGTCCATTCTGGGTGTCAGGGTGTTTGCGAGATAATGATTCTGGAGAAAGTGCTATAGCGAAAAAAAGGCGGAGCGAAGCAGAGTGTGCAGAGGATACGGTGACCATTGGATGGTGAATCCTTCAGCCATTGAAGAACTTGGTTGAGAAATCTGTCTCCAAAGCCTTCTGGTGATTGGGGGGGTGCCACCAAGTCTACATTTGCTGGTTTCCTTGCATGACCGGATAACTGCTCCTCAGCAAATGAAAGCCAAGGCCAACATGCCTTGAGGGTCCGAGACTCCTTACCCGTGGGGCCCAAAAATGGTTTCCACTGTCTATCAAAAGCAGCCTCTAGACACTAAATGGACAAGTGTCACAAGACCACACCAAATTCTACTACCACGCGATACTGTTTTTGGAGAATCAATTTCCTATGCTGATCAGCATGTGCAGTGCTGCTTGGATGCTTGATCTTTGGAGGATCCTCCACACATTCTGTCCGATGAGCCCTGGCTCACAGCACCGCGTTGCGATCTCTTCTAGCTTCAGCCACAGAGGCAGACAGACCATGACAGAAATAGAAAGGTGTGCTTTCGACAAGGGATCACAGCAGAGAGGTAGTTTTGGAACTTGCTTAGAGCAGACTGATTGCAGTTGGCCCCCTGTTGGAGAAGCCTTTTGATCCTTTTTGTAATTTGCCTTTGTGATTTGGTCTCGCTTCGCAGCGACCGAGTCCATCCGGAGCCATCCCGCATCGGTCAGCGCGCTCGGAAGGAGTGCGTTTGGCGCTGCTTGCGCCAGGGCCGAAGCCGGCTAAAGAGGCACTGGGCCTTGAAATGCCTTGGTGCTAGCAGAAGTTGGGTGGTGTCAGTATGCCCTGTTTGTCGGAGATTCCTTTCTGAAACAGCGCTGCTGTTTCTGTCTTGATGTTTGCGCCCCCCAGCCATCAGGTCGCCATTACGCCTCCAGCATCGCTGGAAAGTGCGTCATGTGGTCGCTTAGCTCAAGCGGCCGAGGTGGACTCAGGTGGAAACCAAATCTGACTTTGTGACTATACAGCTTCTGTTACTTTTATAACCTTTAGCCCCATTTTCTTAATTTATGATTGATCTTTTAATAGAAAATGGGGCTATTAATGTAAGAATGTAAGTGAATTATTTCAGTTGCATAAGCTGGCGAGAGGCAAGCTTGATGTAACGATGATAAACGTATGCGGGCGACTTTATAATCTTTATTGTGAGAGAGGCATTCCGCTGGAGTACAGATGGATGCTGACCTTATAAACTCCATGACGGAGGACAAAAGACGTAGGACGTGCAAGTGACACGTGTTGCATAGGGAACGTGCTTTGAAAAGGAAATGCCTGAGGAGAGTTCCGAGCCTTCCCCGCCTGAGGTGCATGCAAGACATCTGGATCGAGAAGAGACACCTTCTTGAAGGCGCGAGATCTCGCTGGGCGATTTAAGCAACGCCTTGCAAAGTAGAACGCAAGGGGATTGATGAGCTCCACCCAATACAGAAGGCCGGCACGAATGTCAAGGTCACTCAAGGCGTTTAAAATCAATGCCCAGTGTGGTCACGCGACGAGGGCCTCATTGCCCCTGAATCCAATGTCCTGTTCCCAATGGTTCTTGGGTGCCCCTTGAGCAAACCTACAGTATAGTCCCATGCATTTGTTGGGAATATGTGTGAGAAAATGTGAGAAATACATAAACTAGCATCAACGGTCATCATCCAAACTTGCTACATACGTACCTTGACATACCCCAGAGGTTCGCCGAGCCTTTTTGTGTGGAGGAGCTGAGAGGCAACCCTGGTGCCAACCTGACTGCGTTGGCACTGTCATTGAAGAAGCGCGGCGAGGCTGCGTTCTCTCTGCAGATGTCGGCAGTGTTGGAGTGGGAAGTGGGGAAGGTTGGAGTGAGAAGTGGGGAACAGGCCAGACCTCCAAGGGATCGGACATGAACGGACGTTGATGGAACATGTTGGGTCAACGTTTCTATTTGCAAAGCATGTGGTAACGTAGCAAGCTCTCAAGTCGGTTTTTGGACTAGCCCGATGTCTCGTTCTGATATGGATACAGTACTTCACAGTTGCTTATTGAAAAGCCACAATAAAAAGAATCGCCAACCTGCACAGCGAATTAGCCGCCCCTGGTTTGGCAGTTAACTCGTGCCGCGGACTTCACCGCGCTGATTGCTGCGTGCCGTCGGCAGAGCAGCTGGAGCACTGCCATTGGCTTCCTTGGAGATGTCTTCCAGAGCATCTTGGTGCTAACAGGGAGGAACACCCCCAGGAAAAGATGACCCCTTGGCAGGAACACCCCCTGGGCTCTGGGTGTTCAGACCAACAAGGTGAGAAAACAAAGTGCGCCCTTTCTTTAGCAAAAGTAAGAGAGAAAGACCCTGAAAAACAAATCGAAACACGTAAGAAAGAAGAACCAAAAGGTAACACAATACATCAAAATAATGCAAAATACGTAAACCTCAAATGAGCGACAGAGTACGAGAGGGCTCAAAAAAAGCTTTGCACAATGTTGCATGATCAGTTTGCCTTGTGTTTCATGGATAGCCCCCTTTGCGAGATCCATCTATAGCATAACGGCGACTGAATACGAAGGATGAAATGAAAGACGTGTGTAACATCTTAGCCTTAGCTGTTGCTTGTACCCTCTCCCTTGTGGCTGATGTTTCATGACATCCAGTCCCGGCTTTCCTCGAGGCCGACTAGACTGCGGGGTTCAAACCCACAGTGCCGTGATCAGCGCCTGCGAGCGCGCCTCACGGTGGTGGAGGGCGCTGAGACACTTCGAGCAGCTCGAGAGGCGTGCGACATGGGCGAGACGCATCTGGTGTGGTGTGATTCTGGGAGGTTCTGGCTGTGGTTTGGTTGGATGGGCACGAGACAGTAGGGCACATGATTGCAACAGGTCGAGCTACTAGTAGGCCAGACAAGACATGACAAGACCATTGGTTCCTCAGTTTCCAGAACCTTGTGAAGCGTCATGGGTTTGGCAGCGCGTTCCTACTCGCAGGATTCGTGTCTTCGAGCTGGATGTGGTCATCTTTAGTGCAGCCATATCAGCCTGTGAGAAGTCTGGACGTTGGCTGCTGGCGCTGAGCTTCCTTCAGTCGATGTGCCGTCGACGTGTCTCGCCCAACGAGGTGCGGTGTTTCCGATCGACCGGTCGTGCACGGTTTCATGGCGGAACGCTCCTTCGACCGGTTTTCGAACAGATGCAGTACTTGCCTGATATCCTCAGATCATTTCAGCCACTTACATGTGCCATCATGTGCCTCTGGCAACCATCATGTGCCTCTGGCAGCCATCACCGGAACTGCTGACGGTTGCCTCTCATCGGTTCCAGGTGACGTTTGGCGCCGCGGTGGCTGCCTGTGAGAAAGCTGGGGAATGGACCTTGGCCATGACTTTGTTGGCTGCAGCAGGGCATTGGGGCGTTCAAAGAGGTGCCGAGTGAGGGGTCAAATGATGATCGGTTCAGTTCGTTGGGCCCTCAATGGTCTTCGGACAATGGCGAAGAGCCGGAGGAGGCTTGACGTCCTAGGCTTGACGGCTTGATGTTGCTAGTTCGGGAGGTGTTCTCCTAATGCATCAGGCAGCCGATGTTTCATGAGTTGAATTGAAGATACTTTTTTGGATTGCCAAACCACAGTCAGGTTTCGGTTCGGTTGGAATCGATTCGGGACCCTTCCTGAAGCATGAGGGAATCATCATGATGGTCTTCTTCAATTGAATTCGTTCGCGATTCTCAGAGGCCTGTTGATCCACAGCTCCGCTCTGAGCGCCTGCGAGAAATCCGCTGCCTGGCGCGCGGCCACTGCGTTGGCACGCGGAAGTGGCGGTCGAGCGGGCCTGCAGCTGGAGCTTTGGTTGCCTCCAACCTACTAGCTTCTTGCTCCTAGTAGCGATGCCAGGAGATACTAGTAACGTCCTTGTTCCTAGTAGCGATGCCCTGTGTTACTAATAGACATGGAAGCTTTTGTTTGGGGGGATGCAGGCGGAAGATAGGACCGTCTGGCACTTGTGGTTCTAGGCCTTGAAAGGCTGTTACTGTCGACCTGGCATTGACCAGTGGTATGTTTCACTCAGGGTTTTCCGGGGTCAGGGTGCAAGTGAAAAGATCATGACTCATGACGCTGGAAAAAGCTGTCCCGCATTGTTGATTGACCCTCGCTTTCCAGTCATCGAGCTAGGATGTGGTAGCATTCAGTGCAGAGCTGTCTTGCAATGAGAAAGCCAACCGGTGGCAATGCTCCTTCAACATCATCACCAGGATGGGGAGCTGCTTGTGCTGTCAGTCACAATTGAGCCGCTCTAAAAACCAGCCTTTACATCTTAAGTAAGGACCTTGTCATATCGAATTCTGCGTAAGCATTTCGGAAGTTTGCTTTGCGTAAGAAAAAGGGAGGGCCACGTAAGCAGCGCGTAAGGCCTCGCGCAAGGAAAGTGATACGACATAGGGAGTGGCTCCAGGTTTTCAGAGTGGCTCAATTGGATCCTGAGCAACCTTATGGATGCCAGTTCCCGTAATAATACTGGAAAACGAGGGGTCACCGGGTCAGCTTATGCTTCTGCATGCTCACAAGAACTTGCTGAAGTTGGCACGACTAGCTGCCATGACTTCGGGAGCAATGACCCTTGGAAGCAAGAGACATCCCCGTTGCGATCAAACAGCTTCAAAGACCCACAGTTTCGGTGCGCCGGTGCGCCTTTCGTGCCACCCGAAAGCAGGATGTCAAGTGGTGGAGTAAGCCCTGGAATCGTCACCCTGAATGCAGCGATGAGTGCCTGCGAATTGACGGGTCAGTGGCAGAGGGCCGTGGATGTCTTGTCTCGTCCTCCCGGGTGCCTCGGACGCATAGGTCCTTCGTGGTCCATTCAGTGAAGGGGCAACAGCCTGCAGATCAATTTTGCTACCAAAGAACCACAAGTGGGGGCCAGAACCACAAGTGGTTCTAGGCACAAGTGGGGTCAGCGGATGCCCTAAGATCCCGCATCCAAAGATGTGATTTGAGCTGCAACAGGCTGTCGCAGAGGGCAGGCGGAGGGTGGTGTAACCGCAACATCGACGTACTCCCAATGAGTGTGCTTTTATCATCTCATATTTTTGCAGGGGTTCTGCCCACCGTCCACACGAAGTCCCATTGTAGGGAATGAGAGAAAGAACCTATCAGACTGACATAGGGGACTTCTGTCCTCAACTGAAACACTCCCGGAAGAAAGGAAGTTGACATCAAACCAGAAGTTGTTGACATCAACACCATTTGCAGCCAAATTGAAAAATACGGAAACCCCGAATTCCCAGCCCGTCCACTGTCCTCCCAAAAGTCACCCGGATGTCATCTCCCTTCAGGCTCCGCACTCCCGACATCATCTCTTACAGCACGGCCATGGCCGGCAGCGGCGCGTCCGGCCAGTGGCCGGCGTCGCTGAACCTGTTCGGCCGCGCGCGAGCGCGGAAGGTGCGGCCCAACGTCATCACTTGGAACTCAGTGATCTCCGCAGCTAGGTCGAGGATGGCGGGCCTTGTGGACGCTTGAGTCCATGTTTTTGTTTCTAGTTTAGGGAGTTGAGGCCGTGTGCTGGTGTTGGGCCAAACTGTGAAGTTGCACGCAAATTGGGGGAAGTTGAAGTGAAGATGAGTGAACCATGAGTGAACCTTATTTTATATATCGTGATTGGATATGTAGTTTGATTTGTTTAATATTGCCACCAAAAAAAGCTTTATAAAGGATGATTGGCGCAGGCCGCAGGCCCACTGCCAACAAAGCCTCCAAGGCCTGTGAGGAGTCTGGGCAATGGGAGTTGGCTTTGCTGGTCTTCGATCAGCTGCCAGCCGCCACTGTCATCGGTGTAAATGCGGGCATTGCGGCAGCTGGCCGAGGACAAGTGGACCAGGGTGGTTGGTGACAGTGATGTGGTTCAGGATTATTTTTAAGGATCTCTTTTTCGGTAGTGGTGGGTAGTCGAGGAAGGAAGGAAGGAAGGAAGGACGGACGGACGGACGGACGGAAGGAAGGAAGGAAGGAAGGAAGGGGAAAAAGAAAAGGAATGAGGAACAATTCCAACTTGGAGCACACCTTTATAGGCAAGCGCTGGCAAAATTCCAATTGGACAGTTGGAGCATACCCTTTGTGGACCACCCGAAGGTAAAACTAAAAACCAGGAAGGAGCAATTCCAACTTGAAGCATAGGTTTTGTGAACCACTCCAGGGCAAGGTCTTCAGGGCAAAATTTGGAATTAGGAGGAGCCATTCCAACATAGCACACCTGTAGTGGGCCATCCACGCTAAAAAAATTATATACTATATTAGAGAGTTTTTCAGAGCTTGTCACGAAAGCTAGCATGCTAGCTGAGTTCTTCTTTGCTTTAGCAATGTTGTGGTGGGAGGGGCTGCGTGCCTTAAAGATTGATATATCAAGCTAACCCCCCCCCCCGCGGTTCAACTCCCAGCTGCGCCGTGTAGGGGGTTGGTTGAACGTGTGAACGTGGTTGGTTGGGTGTAACGGTGGCTTGGTGTAAAGGGTGCTGCTGCTGCTGCCGCTCTGCTGCTTGCTGCTGCTGTTTGCTGCTGCCGCTGGCTGCCGCTTTTGTAGCTGCTGCTTTGCTACTTGTTGCGGCTTGGTGCTGCTGCTGCTGTTGCTGACGACGCCGCTGCTACTGCTGCTTGCTGCTTGCTGCTGCTGCTTGCTGCTTGCTGCCGGTGGTGCTGCTGCTGCTGCGGCTTGATGCTGCGCTGCTGCTGCGTGGTGCTGCTGGCTGGCTGCTGGTTGGTGGTTGCTGCTGGCTGCTGGCTGCAGGCGGCTGCTGCTGCTGCTGCTGGCTGCTGCTTGCTGCATAGGACTTGTACTTCACCGTTACAAGTTGTTTACCCCTATTTCTAACCTAATGCATGCATAAGCGGGTGGTAAATTTACCCCCCAGGCTTGCTATAACCATACACCGGCTATTTCCTCAAGACACTCTATTCTTGATACCTTTTACCAGTGCTTATCCTACACTACGGACGCCCTAGTGTATGCACAGTCCTTGTGATGCTTACCCCTCGTTCCGGCTCAAGGCATACATAAGCGGGGTGTAAATTTACCCCCCAGATTTGCCATAACCATAAGCCGGCTATTTCCTCAAGACACTCTACTCCTTATACCTTTTACCAGATCCTACACTACGGACGCCCTAGTGTATGCACAGTCCTTGTGATGCCAGAAATGCTTACCCCTCTTTCCAGCGCAAGGCATACATAAGCGGGGGGTAAATTTACCCCCCAGATTTGCAATAACCATACACCGGCTATTTCCTCAAGACGCTCTATTCCATATACCTTTTACCCGTGCTTCTCCTACACTACGGACGCCCTAGTGTATGTACAGTCCGTATGATGTCAGAAATGCTTACCCCTCTTTCCGACTCAAGGCATACAAAAGCGGAGGGTAAATTTACCCCCCAGATTTGCCGATCACGCATCTTCGTGCCTGCCAACGAGTGCACCCGGGTTGTTCCAATGTACCCTTCCCAGTCAGCGATGTCACATTTACATTCTTTAGCGCAAAGTATGTACATAGCAACCTTCCTCCCAAAACATGTCATCCCTACATGCTTTGCCGACTATGTAACTAGTACATCCGGTGCGATTCGGCTAGCTTTCGACCTCTCCCCCTGGCCTCAAGTGCGTGCTTTGCGGGGGGACGCTGCCCTCCCCGCGCCACCAAAATCTGCAACCTCTCCAACGTCCTGCCTGCCATAAAATCTGACTTTTGAGGGGCGCACCCCGAAACACGCGTTTTCGTGCGTTTCTTCTTCTTGCGCCCATGGGCACCACAAACAAACAGCGAGTCTCCAAGTATTTCTTCCAGCTTCGGCTTCGGAGGGCTTCTGGATTCTGCTCGGCTTCTGTGACCGGTTGCCTTTTGGTAGCTTCTCTTGCCTGGCTAGCCCTACAAAAAATCCTAAACTAATTGGGCGCCCCTGATAACTTCCTCAAGCCACCAGTTCATGACCTGTCAGGGCCTGTCGGGGTCTATTTCAATCAGCCCATGTTTGCCAGATGGACCTTGAATTTTCCAGTCGTGGATTGTGGCCGATGGGCTTGCCCTACTGCACAACAAACCCGTTATGTTCAAACATCCTAAGGTTTTAATAGTCAGGGCCTCTACCTTTGCTACTTCCGGGGCTGCCTAGGAGCGCGCTGGCAGTTAGCCTCGCATTTAGTGGACGTTTTGGAGCGTAGCCCGACCTTGCAGCCGAGCATCGTCAGTTCCTGGACTTCCATGGAAGCTGTGCGTGTTCGGTTGAAGGTGCGTGTGTGTTGGGTGTGGAGTTCGTAGATGATCGGTGCCGCCTCCAGGCGATAACCCTTTAAGATTCGATACACGTACCTCCTTGCGGCAATCCCCAGAGGAGCCCTTAGCGATGCCCGGCGATGCCCCAACTCCTAAGGTTTTAATGCTGCAGTGAGCGCCTGTGGAAGCAGCCAGCGGTGGCGCCAAGTCTTGGGCCTTACCAGGGATCTTTCGAGGTGCCTTTTCTGTGTTTGACTGGTGCGATGATGGGGCTTCCGGCAGGAATGTAGCCCAAAAATAGAAGGCAAAATCTCAATTGTTAGACTGCAAGACTGCGAGTCAGAAGAGCCGGACCCTCCTGCAGCCAGGTGCTCCTTGCAGCCGGATGCCATCTCCATGAATTTTGTGGCGGCTTCTTTGGAACGGCGGGGCCATTGGGCTGGAAGCTCAGTTGGGGCACTTCGGGTGCGTGCTTCAATTTGAAGGTCATCAAATTGATGTCACGTTCCTCAGTTCATTTTCTCTTTAAACAAACGATTGACCTGACGGGAAGTGATCCAAACCCGACCCCACATCTTTCCAGAAGCCTCATGAAACTTGGTCAGCTGCAGGTCGGTGCCTCCCAACTTTTATGGGAAGCTCAACGCTGTGGAGAGAGGCTTCTGGGGCCCGAGGCTGGGGCATCAGAGGGTCCGCAAGGAGGTTTGAGGCATTTTGAGGCAATGGTGGAACAGATGTCAATGTTTGAAGAGACGTGTTAATTTATCTAGTGCATTTCATGCACTGTAAGTTTATTTCAATTTCTGGTGGGGAGTGCATCGAAGGCGTTTTACTGCTTCCAAAGTACATAATTCGCATCAAGTGTTTAATGTTCCATAATTTTCCAGTATCAGTATCTTCCTGTATACATGTATACTGCACACCTTTCCCGCAGAGTAAGAGTAAGGTGCACAGCTCCAGATTTAGGGGTATATGCGGTATATGTCACCTCGTGGTGCACTTTATCCCGCGAATGCTTCGGCCATAATATAAATAGATCAACTGGCTGCCAGCAAGTACGGGCAGAAATTCCTCGTGAGAGCAAAGCAGACAACCACGTTTTGCACTTCAAGGTGGCTACAATGGGTGTGGCTGTGGATTCCTCCCAGAGGCCTGGCTGCCGGGTGGTTGTAGATGCGGTTCTCCAGGCAGCCTTTTCATCAAAGAGGGGCACCTAAAGTCAAGGCCTGCTTCTTTGCTACCCCAGTGTTTGCTTCCACTTTGTTCGCACTTGGACATCGGTGTGAGGAAAGTGTGATCATTACATGTTGGTCACCAAACCTGAACCCCGACAATGATGGACATCTAACTCAATCTAACTCCCAAATCTATCTACAAACTCCGCTGGCTCCGGGCTCGGCAGGTTTGGCTCCGCGAGCCGCGCGGTGGGCCTGCTGGGCGGGTTGCAGCAGGAGGCGCCCAGGAATTTGCGCCAGCTCGAGGGGAGAAAAGGTAGAAGGAGGACATGAAATGGACCTCAAGAACAACAGCAAATATATTTTGTGATAAGTTTCATCAGAGGCTCTAAGCCTATAGTGAAGGATATGCCTTGCCATTTGTAGTTATTTCATAGGCGGAAGTACTCACCTCAAATGATATGTTTTAACTAATTTACATATCGATATCATTTAAGATGGGGAGTGGCGGGGATTGAAATAGTTGTCTGGCTTTGGGACAAAGAGCCCAAAATAAAGAGAGTCTCAGATTGAATGTGGAGTTCTTATATGTGGGCGTCAATCTTCGCTTGTGCCTGATGTGCCAGTTTTGTTCGTTGGGCGAATCAAGCAGCCAACCGCCTAGGAATAGTGTTCAAGCAAAGGTATTGAAAGTGGGTGAAATATACAAATTTACGTGTCTAGTTTCATTCCTGCCACCCTTGCCATGAACCACCTAGTCAATCCCCAGTACATCTTCAGGGGGAACCCACCTCAACTAAAATCAATGATTCTTTTAGATAGTTCCGGACTCAGGAAGATTCGAATCTGGTGGGTGCACCCTCCTCAGAATATCTATATTGGTAGGTGGTGGACGGTACCACCCAACTATGGTAAGATATACGTATAATTACGTATATGGTGACGGGGCTACCAATATTTGATGGCTCGTCTTTAAAACCGTTTGGAGCTGCCACCAAGCCACGGGCATAAGCCTCATAAGCACGACCTGAGTCTGTGGGAACGGTTTTGAAACATATTCTATTTCTGCCTCCTGGGGATTGGTGCCTATGGCGAAGAGGCATCCAAAGAGCCATGAACCGCATAGATTGACTTAAACGTATATTCTCCACTACTAATAGCAAGGGCGCTGCTAGGGTGCAGGCTGTCGCTAGCGGGTGGAGGTCATTAAGTAGCAAGGATGCTACTAGTAGCAAGGTGCCTTACTACTAATCTAGGCCCCGGCCGGAGGAAGCCCATAAAGCCCAGGCACCGTGGTTGAGACAGGCCTCAAGTGCAGGCTTTTGATTCGAAGCAAGCCTGTGAAGTCGCCGAGGTGTTTGAAGATGGAGCTGTGTGAAGTCACAGGGCTAGAGACCATTGCAACAACCAAAGCTTTCTCCAGGCTGTTGACGTAAAAGGTTGCATCATGCATACAGTATGTACAGTCAGATGTTATTCGTTCGGGCTGCGGATGGCCAAAGCTGCAATGCCGCAACATGCCGTCCCACCTTCCGCTGAGCTGGGCTTTTCTCCTTAGTGCAACCTGGTCACGCACACTTCCGGACAAGAATGAGCTGGCCAACGCGTGCCTGGTGTCATAAAAGGTGGGGGAATGCACCCGGTGGTGAAGGGTGAGCCCATGAACAGGTGAAGAGAGAGGCTGCGAATACAATCAACGTAGTTGAACTGAACTGGATAGATGGAAGATTTCAAGATATTTCACGCATTTAGAGCACGATGTTCCCTTGATCCTTCTGCATTTTTAATGGGTTTTCTCTCCCTGATCTATTCCACACACTTTCACTGCAGCACGCAGTCAGATGGAAGCGTCAGACTCCAAATGAGGTGCTACTTCACCTATCGAGTTGGATACGTGATTTGTGATGCCAGTTTAGGGCCCGAGGCGGCTCAAAAAGAGATGGAGGTGCGGCATCACCATGCGGTCAAGCACACCGGTTGAAATGTGTGCACCAAAAAAGAAGGTGCCTCACCAATCACCAAGCGAATGCTAAAAGTATCACCACATGAGCATCCCATCAGCAAGCATCAGCATCCATTAGCTACACTTTTGTTTGACCATGGCCCATCCTCACGCACAGACGGCAGAGCCTGCTGACAGGCTGGTCGATGCAACGCGGACTTCCGATTGATGGGTTCTGACTTCCAGCGATTGGTGCTGAAGCACTACATGGAAGGACTCTCCTCATTGGGTCGAAGACGTGGAGGGGGAGTCACGGTACTCAACAGAGTCCCAGGTGAAGGTGCTTATGCAGATGACTTGCTGAAGCAGCGACACCCAAGAAGGCGGTCCCATGGCTCAAAAGGAGCAAGCTGCACCAGGGCTTCAAACATCTTCAAATCTTCAAATCGTGGCGGTTGATGTCGTTTGCATTTATAAATTAATATAGATTATGATCCCTTCCCAACTCGCGTCCTTGATTTTGGCATGCTCAGCTACTTTCGTCCCCATCCTTCACCAGGAGGTCGGCCTCCCTTGGAAGAGGCTATGTGGCTTTTGACCTCATCGGAAAATTTCCAGACGCGCACGCTGTCCGAGTGTCCGCCGATGCAAATCTTGGTATCTTGACATCGCCCATGTAGTTTGCTTTGCGACGAGGTTTGGGAAAAGGCACGATGACTCATCGATGACATTTTTTCGAGGTTCATGTCATGGCGGATAAGGCCCAAATAAATTTGGTTTGTCGGCTTGAGGGTCAGGTTCAAGATGTTCAGGACATGTTTGCTACTTTAGTTATGGGCTGGGACTGCCCTGCTGAAGGTTAACCTGCCGGGTCCTTGTACAGATCAAAGGGCTGCCAGTTTATGCCGATGAACTCACGATCCTGGACTGAGGCTAACATGTTGTATGGCGAAGCCCTTCTGTACCTGGATGGTCCAAGCAGAGATGGGGAGTCTGCAATGCTGGTAGCTCAGGCCATAGAACAAACGAAGCGCGTCCAGCCTGAAGTCTTGAACGCCTTGGCACGCACATGGCCCCTAGACATGGCCACCCATCGCTTTCAGGACAGGCATGTCTTCTGAACAGTGATCCAGAAGCTTCATCACTGCATGACTGCATTGTTTGATAGACATGGTTTGCCAACTTGAGCGGGTGCAGAACATGTATGTAATTAGGAAGACAGCGTTTCAGACGTCTCACAAACTTCTTACAGTGAGTACTGCAAAATGTGCCTCACAGTCCCCAGGCGCGATGATTCTATACCCAACATTTGAATCAATTCGAGAGCTTGGCCGCATGTTCTCTCAGGAGACTTTCTTGGCGCTGCAGGGGATGGCCAAGGGAGATCGGAAACTTGACTTGGTGCATTTTGTGCTGTGCCGCTGTGATGAAGATCTCAGCTGGTTGGAGGAGCTGCTTGAGGGGATGCAAGCTGGTGGTGTGTACCTCTATGAGACCTGTGGGCATGATGAGCGGCTGAAGGACCAAGATAGATGAACACAGTAACTGGGGCAGTTGGAAGAGTCATAGACTTCTAGAAGTGAAAGGGATGGGGTCGGAACCAGCTGAGCTGAAAGTTGGTGACATTGGTTTGTTCCGTGTCTTTTTCCTCCTTCTAGCTCAGAGCAGCTCGCCACGTTCGCCCCACAGGACGGCTTCTTTGAGAAGTTGAGTCCAGAGGTGGTCAGTGGCGCAACAGCAAAGGGCCCTAAGGGATCCTGCCCTGCGCAGATTGCGTTGACGCATGTGCTACGCTTCTGGGCGGCCAAAAAATGCAGACCCGACGATCCAAGTAGCACCGGAGGCCAAACCTTTGAGGGTGTTTGTAGGGTAAGAACCTTAGCCTTCCCAGATCCAGCTGCCAAAAAGATTCGGCAGCATTGATGGAACCACTTGTGATCAAAGATGTGAGCAACGCTCAACCCCCTGTTCCTTTTAGCAGGGAGCTTATCAAATCAGTGCTCGCATCAGCCAAACCCTGGTTCGTACAAGCTGAGCGTTCGGACAGGCGTAAGTGGCCCGCGTAAGTCCGAATCATGACAGACATAGGCAGATGCAAGACCCCTTGGAGCACATCTGCCCTATGTGGCAGTGAGTGCCTTCGCAAAGTTGCGGTAACAATGTTATGTGAACATATATGAACATGTGAACTGTTCCCATCTTGTGACTGTTGGTTTTTCCATGGCGTTGCGTGTGGCTGCAGGATGTGCGGACAGGGGGGCTTGGATTCATTTGGGCTTTTTCCCTCGCATGCCTCGAGGGAATTGAAAGGCCAAATGTTCAACATTCCGCCACCATTGGCCGCGCCTAGGCTACAAGTTGGATTTTCCGGAGTTCTTGCTTTTCTTGCCGTCAGCCGCACCTTTGGAGCAAGAACGTTACTTCTACCAGCTGGTGCTCAACAGCCTCCTCAGCCACACCCTTACTGCCGACTTCGTAGCTTTAGGCTCAACAAGGGCGCCTCCAGTTTCGCTGGATATGTGTCAAAGAAGCCTCATTCAATCTGGAGTCTTGCCTATTTGGAATTATCCCTTGGGCGACTTTGGGTTTGTTCAACAGAGATTTTCGAGTCTTTTCTGCTGAGGGAAACTGTGGATGATTCTTTCCCCTGGAACGGTTCATGTCTACTCCTCGGAACATGCACCACCACCTGACATAACTTTCAAGAGGTACTGACTTGAGTCCAAGCTTGTACGGAATGGATGGTTTCAGAGACCCTACAGTGAGGCCATGCAACCAGAGCCCCACCAGCACTGAAGGTGCTTTTCACATCTCTTCATTTCTGTTAGCCCATGTTGTGCAAGATGTGTGCCGCGAAGCGTGTTAGATGTTCGCCAGTGTTCAACCCAGCCGATAAGAAACAGGGAGGCATACCAGGCATACCATTTTCCGCGGTCCATGGACTCCAGGCTATGAAGGATCGCGCTTCCTGGTCAGTGCCAAACGACTGGTCGAGTCCATAGACCGGGTGGCTTCTTTAATGGCAGCCTTCGCAGAAAGCGGCTGCACCACGGTGGAGCTCGAAGAGGCTGCTTGGCTGAAAAGGGTTTTTTCATGTCTATATTATATCCAAAGTTCGTAGCAAGAAAGAGAGAGCCTGTTAGTTACATTGGAAGCGCCACGGAGCAAATAATATCTCCAGTTTTCCTACACCTGATGCTGGCCTAGGCCATTGCCAATTGGTGGCATATCGTTTTCGGTGAGCCTGCCCAGCTGCCAATCCGCGCAGAGGATGAGCGTTTGCCGATGTTTCTGCGTGTGGCTGATGGGCCATCTGGATTTTCCAGGACTCGGATGCCCAAATCCTCTGATTATCTGAATTGGGCAGCTACCGACCTGGACGAAACATAGAATTTATGGAACAAAAGACAACTATATATCTATGTACACATGCAGCATGCAATCAACGAATATATGCTATATTCCGGAATGCAAATCAGGCGATCATTGGTAAGAGACGGAGATGCGCTTACAGCAGACTACCCGGGGGTTGCTTCTTTTCATTTCAACAATATATTGTCGCGCGCCCTTGCAGGCTGTAAGTTCTATAGTTTGCCGGCGCTTTTTTTCGTTTTGCACTGGCAGGCGCAGAACCAAGTGGTCGCACCCGGCCCAAATATGCAGGCCCAAACCAACCACAGCAACAAAATCCTTGGCCGCACCCGGCCCAAAGATGCCGGCCCAGAACCAACCAGAGGCACAGAACCAGCCACACCAGCAGCATCTTTCATTGCTCTTCTTTTCCCAGAGCCTCAGTGAGCTGAGCATGAGGACCTAGAGCGGTCTGGCTGGTGATGACGTTGAGAAAGGGCCCGCGATGGGACGTGCCTGTTTCAAATCTATGTTCAAACAATTTCAGACCTCCCTGGCGGCAATCCAAAGCAAAAAGAATCGATCCATAGAAGCCGTACCAACACATGATTAGAGAGACATCCCGCAAATTCGCATGCTATTTTCTGAATATGTTTCATTCATGCCGGGGATAGGAACCGCAAGGAGGAGGAGGAGGAGAAATAATAAAAGCAAATCGTATATTTTTAAGATCTACGATCCATTGAAATATATGAAATTTGATATTTATGCAAAAATTAGGACGTAATATATTTTTTACAATAAGAAATTTTAAACAAATTCTTGATCGTAATAATCTAAATTGATATAAATTTGGTATGGAATAAAATTATTTATTAATAAATTTAAATATATAGTTATTATCGGATTATATTTCTATTATTTATTGATATGAAAGATATATATTGATGGAATTAATTAATTTTATTATTATATTATTTTAAAAATATATGTCGTTTTATTTCTAAAAATATATCGTAATTTAAAAGAAATATTGACATGAATTAATTAGTATTATTAATATTTTTAATTTTTTAGTTTAGATAATATATTTATATATTTTTGCTTTATATAAATATATTAATGATATTTTTATATTGAAATTAAAATAAATATGAATTATATATTTATTAAATTTAATTTGTTATTTTTACTTACTAATTTAATTTATTTACTAATTTAATTTATTATTACGTTTTTAATTTATTATTTTTAATTTAATTTATTTTTTTTATTATTTTCTATAAATATGTTATTATTAAATTTTTTGGAGGGAATATTTTTTAATATATTATATTATATTAAGGATGTGGTTTTATAAATGGGGATCTTTTAAATAGGAATTGGATATTAAAATAATAGGATATTAGAAAGATACAAATATAATTAATAAATTTGATTTAAATAAATGTGTTTTTCCATTACCTTATATTAAAGGTTATAGGATCGGAGAAAAATTGGATTAAATATGATATGAATGAAATGAAATAAAATGAAACGAATCTGATTCGAATTGAAACACAAGAGGTATAATTTGGCGCACTATAAGAAGAAAGAAAATATTATAGGGGAATTCTACCAGAATTCTCGGGGAACGATATTTTGTAAAAATGATGGTTATTATAACGCAATTATTTTTAAATATATATACAAAATTGCCAAATGAAGCGCTAGAAAATCTCCCAAGACCCGTTGCGGCTTTTAAATAGCAGCCCGCCAACTTGAGGCTTGCCAATCTATTTAGGAATTTAATATCATTTAATATTTAATCCAAAGTGCATGACAAAGCTTGAGGATATTTTTCCATTGGGAAATTTGGTCGGTCGAAATTCACTATTTGGAAGTTGGGGGTGGTGGAGGGGTGCAAAACGGGGGGGGCGAAAACCCATCGTATTTCGAAATTCAGGCCGGGGTCGAAAACGTGATGGCATTCTTAAAAATCCAATCGTTTTCCTAAATGTACGGGCAAAATTCGTCAGGATTCAAGTGCATTGGCAAGACAGAATTGTGATTGATTTCGCCCAGGGGATGGACATTATGATGGGATTTTTTTAAGTCCCATCGCTTTTTGGTAGGTACGATGGCCTCGTTATCGTGATATTTTTTTCCAATAAATTTGGTCTGCTAAAATATTTGTCGAAGAAATCGTAATTGGATTTTTTAAAAATCCCGTCGCGATTCTGGTTGACGAAAATATTTGTCAACCAAAACCCGTCGCAATTTTGTTGACGAAACATTTTGTCAAAAAAAGCCCGTCGCAACTTTGGTTGACAAAATGATTGTCAACAGAACCTGTCGCAATATTTGTCTAACAAAACCGACTGACCTGATACCCATCAAGAGGGCCTCCGACAGAAGCCGAGATTCTCAGTGGACAAGTATTAGGTATTGCAAGTTCCTGAATGGATTGTCAAGACTCAAATTGGTAGGTTGCGATTTGAAAGCCGCAACGGATCTTGGTGAGTTCGTGGCGTTTCGTTGGCAGTTGTTTGTAATCATTGTTTGGTAGTTTTGTTTGGCAGTTTTGTTGGCAGCCACTTTGCCAAAGATATCGCTCCCCGGAAATGTTAGAAACTATTGCCTATTGCAGCATAGTTTTCTCCTTATAGCACACCAAACTATACACCTTTTGCGTGTTCTTGGGGTTCTTTATAGCGCTCATTTCGAATCAGACTCGTTTCATTTTATTTCACTTCATTCATATTATATTTGTTCCAGCTTTTCTCCGATCCTATAACCTTTGATGCCAGGTGATGGAAGGGCGCACTGACTAGAGCCAGGGTAGTGCTTGCAGTTTTTTGCTGGGAAGGGCGTGCGTTGATTGTGTTTGTATCTTTCTGGTATCTTGCTATTCTGACACCCATTTATACATAAATGTTCCTGTTAATTTAATATAAACTTTTTGGAAGTGGGTTCGAATTTTCGAATTAATGATTTTTTGTAATATTTTTAATGGAGATACGATTGATAATGTTTTTGTAATGTTTTTTGGTCTTTGTCGAAAGTATATTGATTTTTTGTTTTATATATATTTGTTTAATTTATATATATTGATTTTATATTATTATTATTTCATATATACGTATAATATATATATATATATTGTTAATTTAAATATCGTGTTTGTATTGGATGGCATATATATATATGATATATATATATATATCATTGATTTAGTGGTTTAAGAGATTCGAGAGATGAAAATAATGTGATTTTTCTTTTTGTTATGGTAGTGGGATTTACATGGGGAAAAATGATATTGTTATGGCCCACAACGGTGCTTAGCATATGGTGGTTGGATGCGCCATGGCGGAGAACCACTTGGATGGAAATATTGTAGGAAGCCCATATCTATAGATATGGCATTTAGAGTACACGCCTAGGGGATCCATTGGCGTGAATTCGACGGAATGGCCTGAGAAAGGAAAACGAAGAAATGGAAATTGAGAAATGGAAATTGAGAATGAAATAGGGACAAATAGAGCATCATCATTGCCAAGATTCTCTGTCTAGCATTCTTTGAGGAGGTTTTTGACCAGGATGTGGATGAATAGAATATTTGGCATTCATGAAAAAATGCCATGGTGGAGTGGAATCGATCCTGGCAATTTCGAATAGGATCTTGGCATGGATTTGGCAATGTACTAGTTAAGGTGCATGGCAATGGAATGGAATGTCCTCGTGATGAAGACGGCATGGTTGTTTGCAAGTATTATATTAGAAATCTGAGAAAAGATAATGTTTTGGGAATTATGGATTTGATGGTTGGTGGCACTATTATTGATTATGGTGATGAGCCATTTCATCGAACAAGACATTGAGGAAGAGGCAGAATGGGAAACGATTTGAAGCCAAATAATAGGTGATAACAATTTTGTTGTTGAATTTAGTTGGTGGAACAAAAATAATGGAGGATTATGTGTATGATCAGATGGGCAAGCTAGCAGAAGCAACAACAGGTGTGGCAGCGGCGGCTGAGAAAGCCTTGAATGCATTTGGTCGCAAAGGCCAGTCAGGTCTATAGGCGGCGGCGAAGAAAAAGCAATATAATTCAAACCATGCAAATTCAATTTTGTTAATTGGTTGAGCTTTGACGAATTTAAATATCAACCGATATTGGAATATATTTAGAAGTTGGACAAGGATCATATCATGAATATATATTTTATAGAGGAGAAGGAATTTAGCATTCGATTCTTTAGCATCTCGGTGAATTATTTCAAGGACAAATGCATGAATTTCATCAAATCCTACAACAATGAACATAACGATTTCAATCTTTGACGTGAATTGCATCAGGAATATCCTCCTAATGTTCGAAGCAAGAGGTTGGCATTGGCATAAAATCTTTCTGTATTTCCTCCGTTTGCAAAGGGCAAAACCGCCATGGAAAATATTCTTGTATGTGAGCGTATTATTGAAAAATTCGAAACGATTTCATCCAGCAAGCATCCGAACGAATTGAAGACAATAACATTGATTAGATGTTATGATGCTAAACTACGTGAAAATTTGTACCATTAGCCACAAGACCATCTATAGCGATCAGACAGAACATTCTTGATTATGATCAATCCATGAAGATTTGGATTAGTGAATAAGTGATCAAGACCACAACCAATGGAGGTGAATTCAGGCAACAAGATCGAAGATTGCAAGGGCAAAGGTAAAGGAAAATATAAAGGAAGGAATAAGGGCAAGAATGGTGATTCGATTCCGTGACAACCCTATGGTCGTGGAAAAGGATTGAAAGGCAAGAATAAAGACAAAAGTAACGGCAAGAACAAAGGCAAACAGAAGGATAAAGGAACGAATAAAGGAAAATCAGGCAAAGGTAAAAGCCTTGATCCACAACAATGCAAAATATTTCATGGTTATGAACATTAGTCGAACGAATGCCCACAGAAGGTCAATCAAATTCAGGAGTTAGCTTCAATTGGGTCAGTAGCACCCTCGCGATCTATTCCTTCCTCGGATGTATCAGTTATAACCTCAACGGCAATTAGGAGAATCTTTCAGATTGGCGCATCATCTTCCTCTTCGAAGGGAT